CTTTTTTTTTTTTTCTTCCAGGAATGTAAGTGGAATTAATTCCATAATCCTATATGATACTTCTAAAATTTAGTAGCCACTGTGTTGCCCTGGTAGCATTCAGGTCCTAGGTCACTTACTCAGTCTGGGCAGGATTGAGCAGCTTGGTGCCGGATTTGCTGTCCACAACCAGGGTGCCCTCCTCAGGACTGTGCTCTGGCAGTTGAGCACTGATCCTGTAGGTGTGTGGAGTGCTTGGGCTCAGCACACGGTCTAGTGGCAGCTGCCATGTTTGTTTAAAAACAGCAAAACAGGTGGTGCTGGTATGGCCTCCCTGCTGTGCCGAACCCTCCTGGCAGGAGGACTTGCCCAGGCTATGAGAGAGCTGCGCTCTGTTCCGTTTTCTGTCCCTGAGTATTTCAAATCACATTGCCTGCCGTATGGGATAGTGACGTAAGTAGGAAGATGAAAGCGGTTCAGGGTTATGGATTGATGGGGGACATTCCTCACCTCTCCTGCAGAAGCTGTTCTGCAGTACACAACCTGATTAAAAGTTAACTGGGTAAGAGCACAGCAGGGGTATGGGACTGTTGACTGCAGTTTATGGTGCTCGTGTTTGGTTGAGGATAAGTGGGCTCCAGTCTTCTTCTTCAAGGTCTGCTTATGTATTTTCAACAAATGTTTAGAATACTACAATGCTCAGAGTGATATAGCTTATTTTGCTAGTGGTTATTAGTTTAATGTGTCTTATACTAGATTTATTAGAGCACCTGTGTTGGTATTTCTACATTGATAGTGGATTGTTTGTGGACAGAAACAATACACCATGCTTGTTTCTCTTTTTTTTATGTCTTTAAAACCGTGTTACTTCTGGCTGCTAGCTAATTCAGAGTTCTCAGGGAGTAATGTAACAATATAGGGAGTGTTTTAAATGTAAATACCTGTTCACAAACTCTCTTTTAACATTGAAATTCATACAAATATCTGACAATCCTTTCATGCATTCACAGTGAGGCTGCAGACCGTTCGTATCTACATTAACGTATATTTTTTTTCAAGTTTTGTCAAATCAAGATTTCTTACTTACCCGGTAACTCATCATATAACTTCCTCTGACATCTGATTTCAGGAAAACTTGAGCTAGGTTGTTTCCATCTTCCTTCCCAGTATGAGGGTTTCCAGATTGCAGACTAATTCTTCTGTACATGTGTTACAGTGACTCTCTGTACTTCCCTTTTGATTTCTTACATTTATTATCTGTTAAGAAGGCTCCTGCAAGTCAAAACTTTTAAAGATATTTTACTTAGTGTATTCTAAATATGGATCTTTTATCAGCAGGCTTTTGCTTTAAATTTATTTTTTGTAATGTGTTGCAGAATGGGGTGGTCTTTCAACAGAACTGGGCTCTGGCCCTTCCAACTATTCAGTTGTCTTGCCTGTAAGACAAAACCCTGTTTTTATGTAGCTAGCCTGGAGTTTGCTGGGCTGACACAGGCTACTCAGGAAACTGAGTGGCTGGGGAGGAGAGGGGTAGCAGTGTTAGTGAAGTTTGCTGCACAGTGGGTGGAATCAGTGAGTTTGGACCTGAAACACAGGCGAGTTGTTTTCTCCATTTACAGGTTTTCATTCCAGGTTGTTCTGCAGCCTCCTGAAATGCTGCAACATTCCAGTTATGAGAAGTGGCAGGGAGGAGGTGTTTGTGAAACACTTTCAATTTTATTTGTTGGTTTTACAGGAAAAAAACTTAAGCGTCTAAGGCTAATGTTTTTAAATAGAAAACAGACCTTTTGTTTTAAGACAGACTTCAGATTCCTTTCACAGAACCTCTCTATTTTCAGTCAGTATTTACAGCAAGCTGAGTTTGCTAACAGTTCAATTTTAGTATCGAAGATATTCAAGATGTAGATTTTTTTATAAAATTCAGCACATGCTTATCTTGTTTTAATAGATCTACTTTTACACAACAGGGAAAGAAAATTAAAGTAGTAAACCCAAAAGTGTTTTATTTTATGCTTATTATTTTCAAACTACTTCCTTATTTGAAGGCCATTGATTAAACCAGAATGATTTGATTGCCTTTGGCTTAGTGCTGTGTAATAAATGTTATGCAATTGCATTGCACCTGCTTGTTCATTAGTTCTTTAAAGGGTAGCTCAGTGAATTTTCTTGACACTGTCTTGTTATTGCTCTCTGAAATCACTATAGTATATTTATTTTAAATTTTTGAATGAAACATATTTTGGAAAGTATCGATCTGATAAATCCAGGGTTCCGTAGATATTTTGGGCAAAACTTTCTTCCTATTTTTACATATGTAGCACACATTCTGACTTTTCATTTTGATCTGCTGGCTGTATTACAGCACACGAAGCACTATCATATGGTATGCACACTTAAAATCATCATTGGTATTGCATGCCAGGAACTGTAATCTATGTGAACCTCAGTTCCTAATTAATGAGGAGGAAAGTTGAAACAGAAATTAAAGTAAATTAATTGGGTGTAGTCATCCATCTCCTGAGCTACTGAAGGATGTTGAAAATCTGAGTGTCCTCCTAGTTATTTATGATACTAGCATAGTTTCTGTTGAATCTTTATAAAGCCCCACTTCACAGTGTTAAAGGGAAGTGCTTCTAACACAACATGTTGTCCTTATTCTGCAGAATATAGAAAATTGTTTAATGTATTGAATAGCTTCATGGGTATTTAATTTTTATTTCATGTTGGAAATGTGAAAAATACGTATTTACATAAAGATCAGTGAGTTTTGCCCTCAGATTGAAGAATCTGGAGTACTCTTAGTAATTTTTCTTTAAAAAAGTTGTTTAAGTAAATTCAAAGAAATTGTTGA